TGGGATGTGGTGGGATGTGGTGGTGGTGGTGAGTGTGGTGGTGGGATGTGGTTGAGGTGGCGTTGGTGGGATATTGTGCTGGTGGTGATGGTGGAGGTGGTGGTGGTGATAGAGGTGGTGGTGATGGTGGTGAGATGTGGTGGAGGTGGTGGTGGTGGAGGTGGTGGTGGTGGTGGAGGTGGTGGTAGTGGTGGGATATGGTGAAGGTGGTGGGATGTGGTGGTGGTGGAGGTGGTTGGATGTTGTGATGGAAGTGGTGGTGATGGTGGTGGTGGTGGTGGTGGTGGAGGTGGTGGTAGTGGTTGGATATGGTGGAGGTGGTGTTGGAGGGATGTGCTGGTGGTGGTGGAGGTGGTGGAGGTGGTGAGATATGGTGGTGGGGTGGTAGTGGTGGGATGTGATGGTGGTGGTGGTGGTGGTGGTGGGATGTGGTGGAGGTGGACGTGGTGGTGGTGGGATGTGCTGGAGATGGTGATGATAGAATCTTTGGGGAAAAGTTGACTACCAGGGAAGAATCTCTATGTATCACACTTTTGGCTTCCTTGAAGAAACTGACATGAAACTGTTAGGAGTCTGTATAAGGTAAACCCAAGTTTTGCTAAGTACCATTGTCCCTATGAATAAGCCTCTTCTCATTTTTGCTGTTACTCTTCCTTTAACTCCTAAAGGATTTTTGTTTTTAGTAGTTGATTTTCTGCCTAAGTATAATTTGATGGAGGTGGTGAAGGTAGTGGTGGGATGTGGTGGTGGTGGTTGAGGTGGTGGTGGGATGAGGTGGTGGTGGGATGTGGTGGAGGTGGTGGTGGTGGGATGTGGTAGAAGTGGAGGTGGTAGGATGTGGAGGTGGTGGTGGTGGGATGTGGAGGTGGTGGTTATGGGATGTGGTGGTGGAGTGGTGGTGGGATGTGGTGGTGATGGGATGTGGTGGAGGTGTTGGTGGTGGTGGTGGTGGTGGAGGTGGTGGTGGTGGGATGTGGTGGTGGTGGTGGTGGGATGTGGTGGAGATGGTGGTGGTGGGATGTGGTGGAGATGGTGGTGGTGGGATGTGGTGGAGATGGTGGTGGTGGGATGTGGTGGAGGTGGTGGTGGTAGTGGTGGTGGTGGTTCTGGTGGAAGTGGTGGTGTGATGTTGTGGAGGTGGTGGTGGTGGGATGTTGCTTTGGTGGTGGTGGTGGGATTTGTTGGTTGTGGTGGTGGAAGTGGTGGTGGTGGAGGTGGGGTGGTGGTGGTTCTGGTGGTGGTGGTGGTAGGATGTGGTGGAGATGGTGGTGGGATGTGGTGGAGATGGTGGTGGTGGGATGTGTTGTTGGTGGTGGTGGTGGAGGTGGTGGTGGTGGGATGTGGTGGAGATGGTGGTGGTGGGATTTGTTGTTGGTGGTGGTGGAGGTGTTGGTGGTGGTGGTAGGATGTGGTGGTGGTGGTGGTTTTGGTGGGATGTGGTGGTGGTGGTTCTGGTGGTGGTGGCGGTGGGATGTGGTGGAGGTGGTGGTGGGATGTTGCTTTGGTGGTGGTGGTGGGATTTGTTGGTTGTGGTGGTGGAAGTGGTGGTGGTGGAGCGATGTGGTGGGATGTGTTGGTGGTGGTGGTGGTGGTGGTGGAGGTGGTAGGATGTGGTGGTGGTGGTGGTTTTGGTGGGATGTGTTGGTGGTGGTGGTGGTGGTGGTGGAGGTGGTAGGATGTGGTGGTGGTGGTGGTTTTGGTGGGATGTGGTGGTGGTGGGATGTGGAGGTGGTGGCGGTGGGATGTGGTGGAGGTGGTGGTGGTGGGATTTGTTGGTGGTGGTGGTGGAGGTGGTGGTGGTGGTGGTATATGGTGGTGGTGGTGGTGGGATATGTGAGATGAAGGTCATGGTAGAGGTTGTGGTGGTGGAGGTGGTGGAAGTGGTGGATGTGGTGGATGTGTAGGATGTGTTGTTGGTGGTGGAAGTTGTGGGATGTGGTGGTGTTGGTGGTGGGATGTGGTGATGGTGGTGGAGGTGGTGGTAGAGTTGGTGGTGGTGGTGGTGGTGGTAGTGGTGGAGGTGGTGGAAGATGTGTTGGTCGAGGTGGTGGTGGTGGAGGTGGAGGTGATGGTGGGAATGATTTGCTGGGTCAGCTCATAACTTGGTGATCTAAATGGTCTTTTTATTATAGTTTTTGTTAAATAATTATTTTAATATTTCATCAGGGAAGGTGTAATTTCTTCCTTTTAATTTGTCCTAGTAGAGGCCTGCTGCACGATGCTAAGGCATGTTCCGCCTCTTCCCTGGGAGCTGAACTGACTGAAACGTTGGTTGGGCCCGGGGAGGGCAGAGGCCCCGAGGCATCACCGCGTAGCCTGGGTAGTAAGCACGCCTGCAGCTCGCTGTGCACCTGCGCTGAGCGGGAGGTGCTCTGAGTGGAAGGTGCTCTGTGCTCGCCGATGCTGCAGAGGTGTACACAGTGATGCCAAGCCTTCTGGGAAAGGGTCTCGTGCTTTTCAAAGTGTTTATGTGTAGAATATGGAAGAGATAAAACAAAACCAGAGGACTGCCAATACATTTTAGGAGGAGGAGGATGGGGAGGGGGGACACCACCCCAGAGAAGTCATAGAGCAGCAGCCACAGCGGGCCAGGGCTTATGGGGCATGAGCACCGTGCCTGCAGGCGGGGCTCACAGTCGTGGTGAATGATGATATCAGTGCCACAAGAAGAGGGGCAGATGGCACAGCCAGGGCACAGGGGCCTGGCAAGACATGACTGGGACTCCTGCGCCCTCGGCCAGCAGAGTCCAGCCTGACCACAAAGGCAATGTTAGAGTATGAACCAGGACTGAAACAGAAATGACAGACACACAGTGTCCTTCTATCCTATCTAATAAAAGAGTAATATGCAGCTTCACCATCATTCCAACACACAAGATGGCTTCCCCCATATGGTCAAAGATCTTGCCCCTATGTGGACACAAGATGGCCAGCAGGGGAGGACAGTTGAGAGGGACCAGGCCTTCAAGAGAGGGCAGTTGTGGGTGATCAAGCCTTCAGGGGGGGCCAATTGGGGTGACCAGCCACCAGAGGAGAAAAGTTGGGGGCAAACAGGCTGGCAGGTGAGCAGTTACACATCAATCAGGCTGACATGGGAGTGTTTAGCGGGTGATCAGGCTGGCAAGTAGAAGCGGTTAGGGGCAATCAGGAAGGCAGGCAGGCGAGCAGTTGGGAGCCAGCAGTCTTGGATTGTGAAAAGGATGTACAACTGCCCAGGGATCGGGCCTAAACGGGCAGTCAGACATCCCTCAAGGGGTCCCAGATTGGAGAGGGTGCAGGCTGGGCTGAGGGACAAACACACACACACACACACACACACACACCCCCCCCCCCGCACATGAATTTTGTGCACCGGGCATCGTGTGTGTGTGTGTGTGTGTGTGTGTGTGTGTGTGTGTGTGTGTGTAGAGAGAGAGAGAGAGAGAGAGAGAGAGAGAGAATGAATAAGCATCTCAGATGGGCCATTGTCGCCTGCACCGTCCCATCCCCCAAGTGGGACTCGCTGACCCTGGACGCAGAGAGGAAGACCTGGGAGGACTGCTTTGCTAGGCGAATCCTGGCTCAGGTCCTTTACCAGGAGGAGACAGGGGTACCTACATGCCCCGCGTGGAGGTTCATTCATTCCCGTTTCCAAGAGGAAGTAAGTCCTGCCCAGGAGCGATTTCTGAGCGGAGACCTTTCCCCACGGTGATGCTCCTAACTGGCCAGAGTCACCACGGGGCAGGAAGGCCACCGGGAGGTGCTCTCAGTGAGGTGAAGTGCAATCACCCTGGGGTGCAGAGGAGAGCTCTGGTCTTGTTACCCACTCCCACCAACAAGAGGAGAGAGGGTAGGTCCTGGGCACAGCGCGGCCCGGAGACAGGCATGGCGTCCAGACCCCGCGGACAGGCTCTGGGACAGCGCTGGGCCCAGTGTCCGGACTGGGGCTGGATGCCGTCTGTGGGAGGGCTGCCCTGTACAGAGCAGCAACGGAGCAGCACCCATGGGTGCCAGGAGCACCCCTCCTGTGACAACCACAAGGCCCCAGGCATCGTCAACGTCCTCTGCGAACGAAACTGCCCGCAGAGAGCCGGGTAGAGCCGGCTGCATCCTTACCAGAGGGTGTTGTTGGTGCCACTTGTGGCAGCGCCACGGAGCAGCAATGTTGAACAGGCATCGTCTGCCCTGTTTAGTGTCACTGTCCCAGTTACTCTTTCCATTCCTGTCCTGGGTGAACCTGGAACTGGGTAGCAGTGTTTCAGTGCAGGGCTCCTGAAAGCTCGGTGGGTTTGGCTGCTTACAGAGGAGCGCGGCTAGTTGGCCAGAGAAAGCCAGGCGCCTTTAGGAACCGGGCGCTCAGGGCAGACCCGCCCCGGGAGGTGTGGGGTCAGCGCGGCGGCTGAGGGGCGGGGGGGGGGGGGCACCGGCGGGGGTTCGGCGGGACCCTCACCGCCGCCCTGTCTGCCGGGCTGAGCTCCGTCCTCTCCGCGCTCCGGGCCTCCTCCCGCGGCCGGCCAGCGGGGGGCGCGGCTCCCCGCGCCGAGCACGACCGCATCCCGTGCGCCCCAAGGTCACGGCTCCCCAGCTCGCGGCGGCCGGGGCGGGACTCCGGGGGCCTTCGGGGCCAGACCCCGGCGCGGGGGGCCGCCGGGCCGGCCGGGATGCGGTCACAATGGCCGGAGGGAGGCGCGGGCAGGGCCACCCCGAGGCGCCGCACCGGACCCGGCGCCCAGAGGGTGCGCTCCGCCCGCCGCCCGGAGCGGAGCCGGGGCAGCCAGGTCCCGGGCGCCGCCGGGAGCTCCCCGCGCGGGCGCAGCGGGAGGGCGCTGTCCCCCTGCCCCGCCGCGGGCGGGACCGCACCTCCGCCCTCACCTCCCAGGTCCGCCGCCCCTCCCCGCCCGCCCAGCACAAGTTGGCGGCGCCTATAAAAGCCGGGGCCGGCGGCCGCGCACACACCGAGCCGCCTGAGCTGCCGCCGCGGGACGCGAGCCAACTCCTGCCCCACCCGACCCGCCGCCACCATGTCCCACCACTGGGGGTACGGCCCGAGCAACGGTGAGTGCGCGCTCCGCGCCCGCCCGGCCCGGGCCTGGGCCTGGCCCCTGCCGGGTGCCCACCGCCCGCCGCTCCGCCGCCCCAATCCCCGCGTCCGGCGCGCTCAGGGCCGGGGAGGGGGGTGTTCCTCAGCGGGAGACACGAGGACAGCCCCTCCCGGGTCCCTGCCGGACAGCCCCTCCTGGACCCGAGGAGAGAGAGGTTGTAGGGGAATGTTAGATGCTGGTGGCAGGAATCAGGGGCTGCTCCCCACACCCATCCTCTGCGCCACCTGTGGCTCCGGCTCCGGCTCCGGCACCGGCACCGGCACCGCCTGTCCCTGGCATGTTTCTGTGGGTAGAATTCCTTGCCCTGGATGAAGTTCACCCTTCACCTCTGACCCTAATGTGAGGGATCACCAGGCGCTGGCTTGCCAGGCGGGTCTGGGTTGCCAGTCAGAGGACATGGCGGTGGCTGGGAGCTGTGTGCACTCCGGCTGCTCTACGTGCTCCCCACACATGGATGCCCATCCTCACGCAGTTCCTGTGGTACATTATTACCCCACAGTACAAAGGGGAAACTGAGGCAGGGGTGTTTTCCTGAAGGTTACTAGGCTTGATGGTCGTGCCCAATGGGAACCTGCATCACTGTCTTTTCCTGGGGCGTGGGGTTTTGTCCCCACACGGCCTCACGCGTCTCTTCCCACCCAGGGCCCGAGCACTGGCACAAGGACTTCCCCATTGCCAAGAGCAACCGCCAGTCCCCGGTGGACATCGACACCAAAGCGGCCGCTCACGACCCTGCGCTGAAGCCCCTGACAGTGTCCTATGAGCAGGCAGCGTCCAAGCGGATCCTCAACAACGGCCATGCTTTCAACGTGGAGTTTGACGACTCCCAGGACACGGCAGGTCAGTGGTAAATGCATGACTGCTTTTACCAGAAAGGGGACCCTTCTCAGCCCTGGTGAGCCAGGCTGGGGAGGGCACAGGGGCTAGGCTCAGAAGGCAGGCCGATGACCTTGAAGTGACCTGGGCTGCTGCTCCCGGAAGCAGTCCCCGGTCCCTTGCAGGGCACTGAGCACCTGGTACCTGCCTCTGACAATTCCAAGACGCAAGGTCCCTGGCAAGAAAGACCAACAGTGCTGTTTTGCAAAATCAGAACATCCAAGTTCTGTTTCTCTCTCACAGTGTCTGCTCTCCCTCCCCATTCCTCTCTCTCTGAAATCAACAAAAACATAGTTTTAAAAATTAGAACTTTTAAAATCAATGGAAACATGTCCTTGGGTGAGGATAAAAATCAACAACCACCACCCTCCTGCCCCCTAAATTCTTGGAAACCAAATTCGGAATATTTTTTGGGTGTTGGGCTGATGTGATAAAGGTGGTATCTACCGAGCAATGCATCCCACAGATGAAGACAGGTTAGAGCTGATGGGTATACTGGCCCATCCTGACAAAAACAGTTTCCGCCATTTGTTTGTAATGAGCTGTTCTCAGGGCACTCACTGAATGCTGTTTTTCCCTGTTTGGAAATGAGCCCCCCCCCCCCCCCCATTCAGCCACAGTCCTGCCTCTGCCCTGGGCGATGGATGTTATTGCCCTATTTTCCCCAGCATTGTCCTCTGAAGGCAGTGCCCGCCGTGGAGGGGCCCGGATGAATGAGAAGGAGCTCCCTGTGCCGCTCACACTGTGCAGGGGGGCCCGCAGCTCACAGCTCTCCTGTCAGTGTAACCAGAGCCCTGGCTGCCCAGTGCATGCAGCACCGTTTGAAAAAGTCCTTCCCTCCCCCTTCCCCATTGTAACATTTCTTGACACTTGGCTTTCTAAATAGTGATTTGGGAGGACAGATTGATGGAGGGTAATGTAGAGATGATCTGAGAAGTGTTTTCACCCTGTGCCCTGGGTCACCTCACCCAGCACACATGGATACACAGGCATTCTGGTGAAGTGTCACGATTTCTTAGGTTTTGAGGATTAGAGTTGGGGGGAGGGGTCCCCTGGAAACACTTCTGTGGGTTTCTGCCTCAGCACCTTCCCGAGCACGCCGTCCACTCCAAGCAGCAAGGCTCCACGACTAAGTTAAATGTAAGGGAGACAATTCTGTCCACCGCGCGGAGGGCGATAGGACAAGCGAAGGTCTTGGCGGTATTGTGCACACAGAAAGGAGCTGCAACACTTCATGTTTGGCTACTTAAAAAAACAAAAGAAGTCAGCTACTTTAGTCTGCAGCTGTCAGCTTTTTTTTTTTAAAGAGACAATGTGCATTCAATGCAGCCAGTGAAACCATTGTTTTCCATGGGTATCCCAGTTACAGAGCTCCCTGGATGCTACAAAGAATCCACTTAAACCACCCGACTGGATGCTCAGAGTCTTCCTTGGAACAATGAGAAACAGTGGAGCCGTGCGCTGTTAGTGGAGGATCTTGGGTACGGGGGTAGCACTTGGTGGTCGCTGTGAGCCTCGCCGGGGGTCCCAGGCCTGGAGGCAGCAGCCTGGCCTCTCAGAGGTTTGCTTTCTTCCCTGGGAAGCTGGCGTGAGCGTGCACGGCCTGAGGGGGAGGTGTGCTGTGCTCTGAGGTTACGCCAGCTCCATGCGGTTCCAGTCTGGTTGTCAGTTGTCTGCAGCCCGTCTATCACATGGAAGTGTCCTGCTGGCTTCCTCCATCCCCCAGGCGGGAGCTGTGCCTCCTGCCACCTGGTGGGTTCTCCTGGGGCAGGGGCTGACCACCTGGCTCCCGTCACACAGGCGGCTGTGTTCAGACTATGAAGCGGGAACACAAGTGGTTTAGTTTAGGGAGGGGCTCACATCCACGCTGCGGGGACATGTGGGCTTTTCTTAGTTCTCATTTTAGAAACCCGCACTAACACAAGGTGATGCGAGGTCAGGCAGCACCCAGGGCCGGCCGGGCCCCTCTGGGGCAAGATGGGGATGATGGGCTGGGTCAGGAGGTCTCGCAGGCCGAGAAACAGGAGGCCCAGGCCCAGGCCCAGGCCAGGAGGGACTCCCGGCGTAGGAAGAAGTCGCCCAAGGCTGCGAGGTCGAGGGTGGCACCTGCTGGCACAGCTGGAGGCAGAACCGGACAGGCGGGCACAGAGGGACCTGCTCTCCGAACGTGAAAGGCTCCTTTGTAACTGTCCGAACACTGCAGCATCCTCAGTTGTTTGGCTGAACAAGGAGGCCTTTTATTTTTTCTAGAATGCAGAATGCATTAAATATTGATGCTAAGGGAAAACACACCCACAGAATTAAAACAGAACCACCGCGACTGCACCAGGCAGGGGAACAGTCTCAGACTTCTTTCCAGACCTGGACTCTCAGGCAGGAGAAGCGGCCCAGGCATCAGGGAGGGGCTGGCCTGGCCTCCGGGCTGCGGGTGCCTGCCTGGGGACCTCAGAATAGGAGGGAAGAGAATCCTCAAAAGATAACCCCGTCACACAGCGCACCGTTTCCAGTACATCCCGCCTTTCTGCCCATGTAGGTCTCAGGATAATTTATCCTTCAGGTCACCCAAGTTCTTTAATGTGGGGTCCCTTAACGCAACCCGCGTGGTTCAGGGCCCACTCCCGGTTTCTGGAGAAGGCTGCACATTAAAATGAAGAAAGACTGAAAGAGTTAATTTGGGGAAATGGGGGCCAGGCGGGAGTCCACCCCTCTGGGAGGACTAACCCCTCCTCTGGCCTTTTACCATTCCTTTTATTGAGATTCTGAGACAAAGACATCTCTTAGGCGGGGTAATTCCAACAACAGAAAATCAACAAGAATTTACATATGATAAACAAATTAAAGTTGCTTCAACTACCACTATCTCAACTAGAGGATGAGTTAATAGCTCCGACCATTCAGAGCCATCAAGGTTGGCCAGCTCTTTTTACATTTTACCACCTGTGACTCAACCTAGAGTCAATGAGTTAATAGCTCTGACCCATCAGAGCCATCAAGGTTGGCCAGGTTCTTGCATCTAAGTTGACAGTTTAACATCTCTCTTTGTTAGGTGTTAGTGTTATGGTATTTAAATTTTTATGTCCTTTGCCACTTAATTTATACTTTAAACCCTTAAATGTATCTCCTTTTCCCTCCCTCCATGAGGGAGTTCAGATTTCCAGACATATCCTAAATGCCATCTTATCTCCAACGGGAATGCCTGGCAGTGAGGAGCTGGCGGCAGGGTTTATCGCTGTGTTTAAGGCCAGGAATTCTTTCTGACCATGGAGTAATGGGCTGTGGCCAGAAGCTTGGCTTAAAGCCCTCATCAATCTTCTAAATTCCCTTAAAAACAAACCACCTTAAGTTAATAAAAAATCATTAATCTTATTAGAGTTTTTTAATTATTAAAAAACAACTCCCCCTGCTTGAGATCTTTTATTACTAAATTTATTTTGAGAGAAAAGAACAGCAGTCAAAATTCCTAATTCCTGTTAATTTCTAACTTTCATTACTGAGTTTAAAACTTTAATGCAAAGTTAGAGGCAAATATCATCAAGAAACAATGTCTGGGTTATTGGGGTAATCCATACCCAGCTCTCAGTGATTCTGTGCTGTGGGCTTTTGAGGAGTTGGAATGTTTGTGTCTGTTTATATTAATTCAAAAAGAAAGAGGAAGGCAGCAGCTGTGCTGGCCCGCTCTGGGCACGTTCTGGGGCCCGCCTGCTTTTCAAGAACTCACTGTGGGCGCTGCTAACCTTCCTTCCACGGACAGTCTTAGACCGAAAGGAAGCAGCACCGCCAATGGGAGGGCTTGACCTGCAAAGCAGGGCCCTAACCCAACCCCACCAACAGCAGCACATAGCACCGATCACGTTTATGGCCGTGTGTGTGTGTGTGTGTGTGTCTGCGTGTGTCTGCGTGTCTGCGTTAGAGTCCGCAGTCCATCTCACAGAGTCACGAGCTGCCTTCAGTAGCACTCGCCGTGTCCGGAGTGGGTGACAGAAGTGAATTCCTTCCCCGCACAGCTCCTGTCCAGCGCTGCCGGCCTGTGTGTGCGCACCGGAGCCTCCTCTTTATGCGAGGACAGCTGCCATCCGTCCTCTCAGGTTTCCGTGTGTGCCACCTGAGCGAGGGCAGCGAGCGGCCGTCCTCCTCGCCCCGGGCCCGGCGTCCACCTCCTCTCGTGGGGAGGCCTGGCCGCCGGGAGGCCACAGGGGGCAGTTTGGTCATTCCCTGATTATTCACGGAGAACGTGGCTGTGTTAGGGGATTTATTTCTTCACATTGTTAATAGAAAACTCCTTAAGTTTTAGGTTTAAACCAAAGGCCGTTGGTTAGTTTATTTGTATTTTGGATCTAAAGGAGATTATTGACTTCTGAGGTCCTTGTTATTTGGATGCATTTTATATTAAGTGCTCATGTGTTTTGGAAGAAAAAATTCAAAAGCGTTAAAATGTCAGTTTTTAATGTGTATGGGTGGTCTGATTTACCTCAGTATGACTGGCGTGACTGTCTTAATTTTACAAACAACCTATATTAGACAATTTTCCCACGTAATCTGTACAGGAAGTCAGATTAATCTAGACCAGTGTTTCCCAAATTTTTGACATATGTGTACCCCTTCTATAATTTTTGTAAGGCTCAGTACCCCTCGTACTCATGAGATCGTAGAATTAGGCGCAGCTAAGCACAGTGCAGTGCATATCCCCACCAAACTCCGGTGCAATGCGTACCCCCACCAAACTCTTCCCATACCCCTGGGGGTACGTGTACCACACTTTGGGAAACACTGCCCTAGACTATACTTTGCAGTTTGTGTGTTTAGCTGTGCTGTGACCCCTGTGGCAGTCACCCAGTGAGGGGCTGCAGCGCCCGGGGTGGGGGCGGGTGGGGGAGGGGGATCGGGGCTTCAGTTGGGTGGGAGCAGGGGGGAGGTCTGCCCTTCCCCGTGGACATGCCTCCACCAGGCAGAGGCCATGCCTCGTCCGCCCCATGGCCTCGTTGCCTTTTGCAGAAATAATTTCTGCTAATTTTAACCCTTATTTTTGCAGCAGAAAAGCAAGTTTCACTTTAATGGGGAAGTTCAGGCGGTGACCTGAGAGCCAGCGTACAGCAAGGAGGCAAGCAGACCCAGAGGCTCCCGCCTCCCACCTCCCGCCTCCCGCCTCCCAGCACAGGCCTCTTCGCTGGTTCCAGTTAAAAAGGCGGGTGCTGCCTGTCACGGCTCCTGGCGAGTTATCAGTAGGACAATGCTCTGAGGGCCTTCACTGACTCACTTCTCGTCAAGGATTTGTGAGAAATAACCAACTGATTGAAGAAGGCCAGAAATACTGCTTTTCATAGCAAGTAAACATTAACTATAATAATCTTTAAAATTACAACAGGCTTACAGTTTACGTAGCAACATAGTTTTACTTTAATAGGAGTGGGAACAGGTATCCGGTGATAACGGATCAGCACGGAATGTGTTTAATCATTGAGCCCAGAGCTTTGCTCACTTTTCCTTTTCAGGATTAGGAAGTCCTATTTAATAAATGCTCATTTGTGCTCTTGCCTGATTCTAAATGCTCTCTGTAAAAATGAGGATGGAGCCTTAACATACGCCAGCGAGTGAGAGGAACTAGCTCTAAGCTGCATGCTTTTTATAGTTTAAGATTCTTCACCCGGAGGCAGATCGGCCAGCCTCGTTTTACTTAACTCAGTTTCCCACTTGGGAGCATTAATGTTACAAATGGTTTTTATGGTCAACCAGCCAGTTAGTTAGTAGCTTTAAAAAGTGATAAAGGAATTAATTCCAACATCAACTTATTTCATAAACACATATTTTGTTTTAAGATTATATAATTATGAAAAATAGGAATTATCTTGTTTTTGAAAAAGCCTAAAGGCTAATTCTTTTCTCATCGACTTATGAGGTTTAAAAAAGCTCTTACAATGAATTGTTAAGTTTCAAAAGATGTGATTTTTGTCAGAACACATGCAAATCCGTGTTTCTTAGCAGCTCTGTGACATAGCACTACCTGTGATTTATGGGAGTTTTCCTTCTTCCTCTCTCCTGCCCAGGGAGAGAGAGGCCTCTGCCCGGACCGCCCGCTCCTCCCTCCTCGCGTAGATGAGTGTGCTGCGCCTGCGCACTGAGCTGAAGGGAAGCAGCAAATGCTGTCTGTCCAGACCTGGTCCCTTTAGTTTTGAAGCCCAGTGTGGGCTCCTTCTTTCATGAATTATAAACCCAAATTAACAAAGTATACTTAAGGGAACAGATGTTTAGTCCCAGCTCTGGAAAAAGTAAAGTTGAAGTAGTAGAAGTAAACTAATTTTAAAAGCTTTAAAATATCCTGGTAAAATCCCAGTAATACACATAAGTCAGGTAGAAAGATTTGGAGGGGATGTGGAAGCAGTGCCCTCACTATTTTAATCCTCTCTTAAGACACAGCTAGTTACAGAAACATTGTGGTGTAACACCGTGATTTCTAGGCCTGATTTTTTCTGTAATTAATACCAGAATAGAGAATTATGAGATAGTTATTCAAGTTAGAATTTGAAGTTCTTGGAGTTAGTACTGCATATAGTATGTGATCAATACCTAGTGGAGTAAACAATTGGATGTACCCATTTTACAGGTGAAGAAGTTAAGGTCAGAAAAGTTAAATAAAAATTTTAAAGGGATGAAGCTAGTCAGCAGCTTTTGGATTTGGATGGTCACTGCTACTAAAGAATTTGGAAAGCCAGTGTGAGGAAAATAGGATTTTATAGCAGTGAGATGAAGAATGCTGATATTTCAGAAATTCTGGCTTGTAGGACTGTTCTGACAGGTTAGCTGAGTCACTCAGGACAGCCCCGGGCAGAGGCTGCCACCTCTGTGGGAATGTGCCGGAGCCTGCGCTGGCCAGAAGCGCCTGGAATGAACTCCCTTCGTGACTCACAGACGATCAATGGCTTCCTGAATATCTCTCCTCTCTGCCCTGACCCTGTGACCCCAAAGCACACTCAGAAGAGAAGTGCCACTGTGCTCAGAAGACAGATGGGAAGGTCGTCCTTTAGGCAACATACGTGCGAACAGCTACCGCATGCCTGTGCGCAGTGTGGGCCCAGCCTGAGCCCGGACTGGGTTTTCTGAGTGAATGGTGCTGTGGCACACACGCAGTCCTATGTAATGGGATGCAGATGCAGCATTTATAGCATGCATTTCACAGCACGTGTGCGAGTATGCATGTGTACACACGTGTGTTTCTACATTTCAGTGCTGAAGGGAGGACCCCTCGCCGACACCTACCGACTGGTCCAGTTCCACTTCCACTGGGGCTCATCCGACGGGCAGGGCTCGGAGCACAGAGTGGACCAGCAGAAATACGCTGCAGAGGTGACCGAGCTTGCCTTCCGCTGGGGCAACAGTGTTATTAGCATTGATTTCCAACGCTTCCCTTCGTAACGCAGCCTAACCAGGGGGAACCCTATCCTTCTCCGAGGACAGCGTGGCGGAGTGAGTGAGTTCCAGTGGGAGGACCCAGTTCTCACACAAACCTAGAAACAGAGTTTGTGTCTGCCCGCAGAATAGGCAGCACTTGCTGTTGATGAAATCACTTGCTAGTATGCCAACAGTCTACACAGAATTAAAAGAAGGAAAGTTTGCGTTTAAAATGCCCAGAGACCACTGTCTGTGTGTGTGTGTGCGCGGGGGGGGGGGGGGGTCTGGGCCCCGGTCCGCCCATCCTCACTGTGCCCTGTCTCCGCAGCTGCACCTGGTCCACTGGAACACCAAGTACAAGGACTTCGGGTCGGCCGTCAAACAGCCGGACGGGCTGGCCGTGCTGGGCGTGTTTCTGAAGGTGAGTGGACAGCCCAGACCTTCCCCGTTTTCAGGAATGGTGAGCCAGACTTCTAGCGGCAGGACGTTCTCCGAGAGCCTGGGTGGAGGGGACACGCAGGACTGAGGGGCTGGTGCTGTTTCAGGCGGGTGTGAGGTGCCCCTGTGAGAGGTGCAGGGAGCCAGGGGTGCACCCCACATCTACTCGGTCCTCCTTCCTCACCTCGAGCCGGATGGAGCTCTCCTGTGACAGAGGCTGTGGAGGGCCAGGCTCTCCTCTGCCCTCAAGGCTTTCAGGGCCGGCCCAGCAGCTCAACAGATAGGAGGCAGGAGAAAATCCCCCCGTGGAGTTGGGGGGGGGGGGAGCCCAGACAGGGGAGCCAGAGACCTGGTGCAGGAGAGGGGACCTGGCCAGGAGGCATCGGGCTGGGGCCGGGGAGGGCCTGGGGCAGCCGGTGCTGCAGGAGGATAGGGCAGCCCTGCAGCTCTGACAGAAGTTATCTCTGATCACCTCTTCTGAGCACAGCCTCTCAGCACATTCTTCTAAGCAGTTACGGTGGGGAGGAGGGGTAAAGAGGAGGGGTATCAGGGAGGAGGGGTAAAAGTTTGCTAGTGTTGACTTTAGCTCCATACAGTCTGCCCCCCACAGGGGCACACCAGGCCTCATCAGGACCCCCAAATGCTAAAGGACGGGCAGGCTCTGAGGGCTGAAGCACGGGGCTCCATTTGGGGAATTTCAGGCCACATCCAGACAGCTGTAAAGCCAGCCGAGTCCCTGGGCTGGACTGTCAAGGTGGGAGCCCCGGGTCTGTGAAACCACCCACGGGGAGCACGAGAGGCGTGGACAGACGCTGGTCACATGATGAGAGGACACGGGGCTGAGGGGGTGGGGAGGCAGGAGGGCAGGAGAGCCAGGAGAGGTTAAAAGTGAGGCGGACAGGTGGCAGAGGCCTGTGAGAAGGTGCGGCAGGCACGGCCAGCGTCCGGCCTTCTGAGCGGAGTGCTGTTGCCCTTGAGGGGACTGCGAGCTCGCCTCGGGCTGCCAGGGCCGCGGGGGTCCCACGGGAGGTCTGGTGGGATCAGGTAGTGAGTGCGGGCTTTGGCTTTACACTTTAGGGAAACTTTATGATAGGACTGCCCAGATCCAGCGGGCGTGGTGCCACCTGTCACCCAGCGCCTTGTCCTGTGTCTCTCTCCAGATCGGCGATGCGAAGCCGGGCCTCCAGAAGGTCATCGACGCGCTGGCCTCCATTACAATGAAGGTACGTGCGTGTCCGCCCCCACGGGCCTGGGGAAACACTTCTGTGTAAACGGAATAGTGTTGGCTTGGCAAGGGGTGTTTGGAAAGCAGTCAATAGAGGTAAAATGTTGCTTACACATTTATTTAACTTTTAATCCAAAAAGTGGGCCTCATGCCCGTCCCAGTCAGTGTCTGGGTAATCTTGCGTCCCCATCCGCACGTCCCTGTGCGCGTCCGGGCTCGTCCTGGGAGCAGGCCGGAAGGCAGCGTTATCCGGCAGCCGGGGCGGGCGGCCCGGTGTCCACACCAGGGCGCGGACGGAGGGCATGCGCTGCAGAGGGAGCTGTGACCGGCCATGGACAATGGTCTGGCCTTGTGAGGGCGCCGGACTGAGAGGCGTCAGGCTCTCCTGCTCAGGACTGTTTCGGGCAGACATCTATGTTAGGGGCCTTTATTCCATTCTCGGGGGCGCAGGCCTCTTGTTAAAAACAGCACTGGGGCTGCCACGTGTCCCTCCCCGCCATGAGGGTCTAACCGGAGTGTCGCCTGTGCCAGGGCCAGAGCGCCGCCTTCACTGGCTTCGACCCGCGCGGGCTGCTGCCCGGGAGCCTGGACTACTGGACCTACCCCGGCTCGCTGACCACGCCGCCACTGCTGGAGTGCGTGACCTGGATCGTGCTGCGCGAGCCCATCAGCGTGAGCAGCGAGCAGGTGGGCTCCCACGGCGGCAGTGGGGGGGCGGTGGAGTCGCCGGCCTGGTGTCCTCGGGTGCTCCGGCCGCAGAGCAGCGCGCAGAGCAGTGGGCGGAGCTGAGCAGTAACCGCGATAAGCATCGCTCCTTATTGACCATGCCTTAGGCTGTCCACGTGGGCAGACGGAGGGTGCAGTGGGCAAGGTGCCTGTCCCCGAATGGGTGCTGTTTCTGTGAACGCTGAGGAAGTCACGCCTGCGAGTGACATGTCATGCACAAGGTCACATGCGTCAGGACGCTCCTCAGCCCCCTGGCTGCGGAAAAAGGCAGAGGGCTTGTAGAAAACACTAGACTCAGTCCACATGGCCAGCACGGCCGAGGCCCAGGCAGACCCCGCAGTGCGGTCTGTGCGGGCTGGTGATTAATGCCTGCAGTCTCAGCAGGGCAGGGGGCAGGGACAGGGGACAGGGCCAGGGTGGGGCAGAGGCAGGGACAGGGGCAGGTCATCGCCATCCACTTCAATCCAGTTGACCCTGTGGGGTGACTGTGGGATTATTACTGAGCCATAGAGTTCAGGCTGTGGACTGGTGGCCACTGACCTCCTTCATTCGTTCAGATCAAGTCTCGATCCCCAGTGTGGGGTGTGCAGGAGGCAGCCAATCGATGATCCTCTCTCGTTACTGGTGTTTCTCTCTCTTCCTCTCCCTTCCTGCTTACATACTAAAAGATTCACCCTAGCCAGTTTGGCCAAGTGGATAGAGCATCAGCCTGTGAACCAAAAGGTCTCGGGTTTGATTCTGGTCAAGAGCGAGCTGCAGGCTCCTCCCCGGTCAGGGCTCATGCAGGAGGCGACCAGTCGATGTTTCTCTCATATTGATGTTCTCTGTCTCTCCCTCTCTCTGTCACTCTCCCTAAAAATCAATGGGAAAATATCCTCGGGTGAGAATTAACCAAGATAAATAAATAAAATAAAAATACGAAGACCCACCAGACAAGGACTGGGCTCCTGCTCGGCACAGTCCTCGGGTGTCCTGCACCTTTAAGCAGAGACACCAGCCTGCCTTCGGCTCTGGCTGCCGACCCAGGACCCCTAACCGAACAGGAGCTGCTGCTTCCCCGCCCCAGGCAGAAGCAGAACCTAATTTTCGCTGAGGACTGTTGCTGTTACACCTCAGAGGTTTGGAGTCGGAAGGAACACAGAAAGGATGGAAAATGTGTGTGTGTGTGTGTGTGTGTGTGTGTGTGTCCCGCCACCCCCTAGCAGCAGCGGCGACTCCCAGCGTGTCACCAAAAGGGCTCCGTCTGTGCACACAGGCGTGTGCCCGCTGTGGTTCTCCTGGGGTCCCATGGCGGGTGAACGTGGACACAGGCTGCTGTGAACAGGGGGAGCCCAGTTCAGATGTGACGCAGCACATGCCTCAGCACCGCCATGAAGCGCTTCCTTCTCATTTGTAATCTCCTCTGTACCCTTTAGATCACGGCGTTCCGCAGGCTTCGCTTCAACAAGGAGGGGGAGGCGGAGGAGCCCATGGTGGACAACTGGCGCCCGCCGCAGCCCCTGCAGGGCCGCCGGGTCCGGGCGTCCTTCCAGTAGCCGGTCCCCGGTCCGAGGCCCCGCGGCAAAGAGGACTGCTGCTCTGCGCCCCCATCCCTGACCGCTGGGCTCCCCACTGCCCCCTCCCCCAACCCCTGCGCTTGCTATTTTCCTGGGAGGACCATGCGCCTTCCTGTAAGAAGCCATTAAAGGGACCCGAGAGGACCTGCCTGTCACAGCACGTGGCCGTGGCCATGGCCATGGCCTCCCAGGGAGGGGACAGACAGGAAGGAGGGCTCTGACCTGCATGGGTACACTGAGCCGTGACGGGAATCAGGTAAAAAGCTCAGGGCTCTGTTTGAGTGACCTGGACGGGACCAATGTTCTGACTCCAAGATGTTATACAAAAGAGATTTAAAGTCCATATATATTTATAGCAAAGTCAGTGTGCCTGTGACTGCTGAGCACAGTGTCCAGGAGGCAGAATCTGTAACCACTGGTCTCACTGCAGCCATGACAGTACATTCCCCCCAGAAGCGTGTCCTCTGTCCACAATGCTGTATTTTGGGTACATCCTCTAATAAACCCGGTTTCTCTTTGGGGCGCTGTGTTTTGTGCGGGAGGAGTGGACGTGGCTATAATTCCATCGGTTCATGGTGGGTGGCTCACATGGGATGGAAGGAGCCCGAAGGTCGGTGCTGTTTGCGCCGGGGGTGGGGGGGCAGCCAGAATTCCAGCTGCCAGGTGGAGGAATGGCCGCTCGTATGCCATGCCGGCAGGGTCTCCCAATCCTCTGCCCCCCGCGGCCACAGTGGGTGCCTGGGTGACGGGAGCGAGCCTGGACTTGCTGGCCGCTAGGGTGGCCTCTGTGAGGGAATCTGGCTAGAGGCTGGTGCCTGGGTCCGATCTGCCTGTGCTGACGTCTCATCTGGTCTTTGCAGGACCGTAGCGGAATGTACCCCGCCATCGCCTCCCGGGGCCAGGTCCCACCCACTCCTGTCACAGCCCGGGGTCAGGGGTCAGGTATGAGAGGCCCTGCCACACAGGGAGAGCCCCCCCCCCCCCCAGGACAGCTGTCTCTTCTGGCCAGGTCATGAGTCCCTGCTCCCCTCACCACCACGGTTGGTTCAGAAAATGGTGGGACAGGACATCTTCCTCACACACACCCCAACCCCCCTCCCCCTGCACGCTGGGTCAGAAGGCTGACCTTCCTGCTGGACCGCCCGGCCTGGCCTCTCCTCCAGCACTGACCTGCCCCCACTCCTCCCTCTCCCCCCCCTCCCACCCCCGGCCACCAGAGCAGCGAGTGCACAGGAGGAACATGCTCCACAGAAAGTGCAGGGGTGGTTGCACGGCAGTGAAATGTGATTAATATCAGGAACTGTACACTTAGAAGGGGTAACATGGTACGTTTTATCTCAGTTTTTAGAAGGCTGATAGGAATTATTATACTTTTTATTATCCAGCGTTTCATTTCTCACTGCTGTCTGTTGAAAACGGGCATGCTTTGCACAGAACAAGCAAGTACTCACACCTCACTGAAAGGATGGGAGGGCCGGGACAAGCCTGGGCACCAGCAGGAGGGGGACTTGGGTGACAGGTGCCCGAGGGCGTGCTGGCTCGGCAGTGCGATGGTCTGCTGGAAGCCTGGCTTTGCGTCTCAGCTGCAGGAACTGGGGCGAGCTCTAATCTCCTTAAATCCCCTGCTTCTCTGCAACATGAGGGATAATACGAGCTGCTCACCTCCGTTCCCAGGAGCGAGCCGGTCCCAGCAGGCTGCACGCTCGGCAGCACCAGTAAGCATCAGCTACGACAGAGCAGCACGAGGGCCTGGCGCCACACGCAGGTCTCCAGGATTAGCCGGCAGACGGGCACTGCCGGACAGCTGTGAGCCACCCCCGGGCCCGTCCTCGCACCCGTCTCCTCCAAGGAGCCCACACAGCTCCTCCCCGTGGGCTGTGGAGCCGGCCATGCTCCTGCCTGCCAGCCCTCCTCCCCGCTCTCACTCATTTTTCTGAAAGGAAGACGATCTGTGTCAGGTTGACATTCTTGTCTTATTGCTGACCAGTCTGCAGAGCTCACTGTTATTTGCTGTCAGTTTGGAGGAAAAGCACCTCGATGTTATCAACAGACATTAATAGGCAAGGTCTCGGCATATAACGAGGAGCGTGGTGTGGACAAAGACGTTCAGAGCGGGAAACGGAGTCGCTAGGTCCTGCTGAGGGGATCCCCAGCTGTGTGACCTGGGCACCCTCAGTGAGCTGGCTCCTGGGAAGTGCTCAGGAGCAGCTCTTCTCACGCAGACCCTCCAGATCATGTGTTCTCTCCGACCAAGGCAGGTCCTCCCCAGGGTCACAGGGCCTCCCGGGCAGCGCAGGGAGGGTGAGGCCGAGTTCGCTCCAGGCCGGCAGACAGCCGTGTGAGCAACAGGCGCTGCTGTCCCTCTGGTGAGGACAGGCCAGGCATGTGACCCCCCGCTTCAATTCCCTCTTCGCTCACTGGAGATAAGTAAGGTTCCTGCTTGTTAGGGTTGCTTTGAGGATTTAAGGGTACCCTAGGTAAAACTCACCACCACCCTGTTAAGAGTGAGCTGAGATGGGTGAGAATTCATCCACTCGACCTTGCACAGGTCCGCGGCATGCGTGGCAGCGGGCTTCCCAGGTCAGGGCCGTGCACCTGCCACAGGTGAGCGGTCTGCCTCCCTCCCCAGGCGGATTTCCCCGCAGAGCCAGCCAGCCGTGCCAGCCCGTGGGACGCTGGGATCCTCTGCCTGCAGCTCAGGCAACACCTCTGAGGCTGGACAGGCCGTGGACAGATGGGCCATTAGCTGTGGATGGTGGCTCCGGAGTGAGCGTGTGGGAACACGAGCACCAGACGGGGAGAGAGCTGTCAGGCTGGCAGGCGCCAGCTGAGTTTTCTGCTGACCTAGTTGAGTTCAATGAGCAGCGGGGGAGGGAGGATTCCCACACATCCCCAGGTCTTCTCTGCCTGGGAGTGGGCCGCGGTGCACTGCTGGATCTTACTCGCCTATCCCCTACGTACCTTTGTTATACTGTGTGTTTGTAGGAAATCCCACTGTCCTGTAAGTAATGGACGGAATGCATATGGGAAGTCTTAATGGCTGTGCCCAAACCTTGGCACATCTGGAACAGAGACAGCAGCGCCCGGTGCTCAGGGTGCATGGAGCTGCCTCCACAAGAGGCACACAGCCAGGAGCACTGTGTGGGTGCCAGAGGGAGCACCAGGAGCACATCCAGCTGCACTCGGGTCCTGGCATCCGGGACGTGCCGCTGGGACGTTGGTTGTGGGGAAGCCGTGGCCTCCTGCTCGTGTGTCCCGGCACGGGGCCACTCCAGAGCCTCGGGCCCGCAGGGCAGCACCGCCTCCACAGGGACTGAGCGCCCGCTCCCGGCGCCTCTCAGCCCCAGCGGAAGGAGCGGAGCTGTGAGCTCAAAGGCCCCACGTGCACGAGGACGTGATGCTGGCGTTGGTTTTGTGACAACACTGAGTCTTTGAGGAAAAAGAAAAACTCGCGTTCCTGAGAGATTTGCGACGCAGAAGCAAGACAGAGTCCAGGCACTTAAAGAGGGGAGGTTTAACCTGCTCTGGGCGAGGCTCGCCGGTCCGGGGTGGGCCAGGGCAGTTCGCGCCAAAAGGCAGCACAGGTGCTTCTTTTACACAGCTGTTTAGGGAGGGGAGGGCGGAGGGCATGAGAGGCGTGGAATTCTGCCTCGGGCCAGGGGCTAGGAAGGCGCCAGCTATCTGTCACCATCCACCCTGCAGATGCATGGGCTCTGGGCTTCCCCCGGCCTCGACCTAACATCTCCAACTTTCCTAACGCCTTGTTCTGGCTCCTCCTTCCCTTCCCTTTCTTTGCTCTTCGGGGACAGGAAGCCATGCCTGACCCGGTGCAGGAGGCTGTCCACCAGGCCGAGGACAGAGGAGGGGTAGCTGGGGCAGAGACCAGGGAGGCGGAGGGTCGGCAGGCCTGGCCCAGCATGTGGATGCCCAGCGGCTCCTCCTGGTCCTCCCGCCTGGTAACCCAGTGCCTGCACGCCCAGCGCAGCCCGGCCGGCCTCCTGTCCCCAGGGAGGCAGCTGGTCAAGGACTCTCTCCTTTTAAACCTGAAACCAGAGCCGCTTCCCCAGCCTCTTCCTCCCGATGGGGCACGATGTCCTTGTTCTGCCTCCGTGTGTGGCGGGGACTGTGAGTGGCCGCAATCCCTTCTGAATCGGAGCGCCATTTCTTCCTACGATCGGCTCACACAGTGAACCCGGGGACATGCAGCCGCAGCGAGGGTGAATGGCCGTTCTTTTAAATATATTTTATTGATTTCAGAGAGGAAAGGAGAGGGAGAGAGAGCTAGAAACCACAAGGATGAGAGAGAATCACTGACCGGCTGCCTCCTGCATGGCCCACACTGGGGATTGAACCCCCAACCTGAGCATGCGCCTGTGACTGGGATCGAACCCGGGACCCCTCAGTCCGCAGGGGACACTGTCCGCTGAGTCCCCAGCCAGGGCTGGCCAGCAGTCCTAAGAATCTTTGCGCAGCGCCAGTGTTCTGCTTCAGGCAGAGGGAAGCAGGAAGCAGCCCGCAGGCCCAGCTCAGTGACCAGGCTTCTGCCAGCGTCTGGATGTATCTAACTGGGTTACCTTTCTGTTTTGTTTTTTAATTAAATCTTTATTGTTGAAAGTATTACATGTGTCCCTTCCTTCCCCCACTGACCCCTTCCAGCTGCCCCCCCCATCCAGGCCTTCACCCCCTGCTGTGTCCATGGCCTTGCCTCTTTCCTCTCCCTCTCCCCCGCTGGAACTTGGTTAGCCCAGGCCTGACCCCAGATAAGCCCTGGAAGGAAGCTAGCTCCCGGAGCCTCGGTTTGCTGTCGGGAGGAATGGAGATAATGACCCCAGGGCCCATGTGAGGCTCCGGAGACAAGGCCTGGCCCTGGCTGGTGGTGAGGGAGTTTCTCTGTCCTCTCCTCTCCCCGCCTCCCTTCATCGTATGGCACAGGAGGTGTGATGACCCCCCTTTACAGACGGGCACCGCGACCAGGGGAT